GCCTAAAAGTCACTCAAAGTAGAGGCTTACAGTTGTGTGAACGATAACAGTAAGCAGGTTATGCGGACATGTGAGAAATATAATTTCTAAGCTTAGATATTAAATGATTAACATTGCAGTGGCTGGGGAAGCAGGCTCCTTGGATCTTGTTCCACAAAGTAGCTCTTGAAAAAAAGCTTTCTGGATGGAACATGCTCCTTATTAAAAGAATACTAAAAGATTTCGAGTGAATGTACGCGGGGTGGCGGGTTTTAGCTGGGTGGGTAAGAATTGGGGGAACTATGGAATGTAGTTCATTTGAATATTTTCCATAGAAATAGCGATAAAGTAGCGAGATGCTTTCAACTGTGGGAAAACGGCTGTAATGTGGAAAGCAATTCATTACCCGCAATGTCGCAGGTACAATTCTGGAATCAAATATGGCAAGTGAAGACTGGATAGAAGAACCAGGCCAACATATGGCAGCAGGACTCCATTTTCGGCCTGATCTGGTGCGTGTAAAGGTAAGTCGTTAGCAGGAGCAGTCAGGTACACTGTCTAAACGTTTCACTCGAGTGTAAATCGTGACCAACGTGTAACTTTTTCACTCAGTGTAAATGGTAACTAAGGACTAACTTTTTTTTTAATCCAATGTAAATCGTGGCCAAGATTTAACTTTTCCACTCGTGTGTAAGTTCTTGCCAACGTCTAACTTTTTAAATCGTGACTAAGATCTAACTTTTTCTCTCGAGTGTAAATCGTCATCAAAATCTAAACTATCCACTCGAGTGTAAATCCTGATCTGTATTTACCTTTCCTTTTAATTAATGTTTTCAGTCCTATAAGAACGTGTATGTAAAACTAAATAGTTTAACAAGATTTGTTATACCTTTAAGTTAATCACACAAAGCTAACCCGAAGATTAATAGGTAAAAGTTCATCTACTTGAATTTCACCAGCCTTGTTCAGTTTTTCAAGAGTCGTGATCAATAGTGGAAGACTGGGGGTACGGTTCAAGTAATCAGCAGTCTTTTGTCCCAGTATCGATCTCATACAAACACCTCTACGGGAAACAAGAGGTATCGAAATCACTGCTGCGAACAATTTATCGAAACGCTTTTACATAATATACTTGCACATATAAAACGCAAAGCTGCGTATAAAGACAGGTCAGAAAAATAACTAAGTGTTATCTAGAAAAGCAAATGAGCCAGGCTTTCGTGTCTCTCTTAATATGATAGAGAATGCAAGGTGAATGTTAAGAGGCGCTGATTTTCCCCAGGAATATTTTCTTTCGTGAAGATTCCTAATTGAAAACTCGCATATGTCACGGAACGTTTGAAACCAATGCCAATGGTTCCATTACTTCGTGTTTAGTTAATGAGACGAGCAATTTGAGCGGAAGGCAGTTTAAATTTCAATTCATGCAATAAAGTAAGCCTTCATTTAATTTCTCGTTTTTAGATTTGGTTGAGTGTAGAAGCTAACAAATAAAACATTAAAATAAGTAAGATATTTCAACAGCGCCATTCAAAATATCCTTAAAATTCCTGAATGCAAATGCTGATAAAAGTTGAAAAGAAGAAGGACTTAAAGAAAAACAAAAAAAAAAAAAAAAACATCACCCCCCCACCAAAAAAAAAACGGCAAAAATAACAAGACGGAATAAAATAATTTTAGTAATAGGACTTAATAACACGAGTAGTACCATTAAAAATTCCTACATAACCTAATGAAGATCACAGGCTAATTGCTTTCGTACCTAAAATCCACTTCTTTTGTTTACAGAAGGATGGCTGCAAAGACTTAATATACATTGTCTCCAATATTTTCAGCTGTATATCCGAATTTGCCCGACGCAGTTCAGGGGGTTATATTCAGTAGTTACAAGTTAATTTTTAATGGAATAGAAATATTTTATTTTGACGAACTAAGATATTACAATTTGAAATAAAAAAAAAATCTTGTAGATTTTCATGAGAAATTTCACATGTAGAAACCAAAAATGTATGCAGTTTAAGATTACCGATAAAAATATAAATAAATAATAAAATCATACGTAGACTTCTCTGAGTGAATGAGTTAGATGTGGTTGGTGTTCTATAATAGTTTAGGCCAACACTCCCCGTTCTACCCCCTAAAAAAATCAACACTTTGAAGGCTGATTTCCAGAGAAGAGTGATATTCATCCCATTGGTCGCCTCGATGTAGTGCAATGGTTAGCGAGCTTACCTGGTCGTCGATTAGTACGGAATAATAAATTAAACTAAATAAGCTAAATGAAGGCGTATCCATTCAGCAGCAACACAATCTTCCTTCTTCACATTTTTCTTTTTTACTATCATGCCGGACAAAGCATTATTAGTAAAATATCGACTGCACTGTCTTGCCGTTAGGGCGGCGGTTAGACGACTAAAATTAGCCTAGTTACTGGAAATCCATCTTTTAGACAGCACTTCCTCATTGCATAAAGAGGAATAGAATCAAGGACAAAATAAGATATATCTGGAAAGACTTGGAATAATCATTTTTTGAATCTCCCTCCAAAAGAAACAACAACACCTCTGTCCGAAAATAATCGTTACATTTTGTGTATGAATTATGTATGCAAATATCACAATTATTACAGAAATATTACAATATAATAACTCTGTCCCATAAGTAATGCTATATTTGTTGTATGAAATATATATGCAAGTATAGCAAATATTATGGGACATATGTATTGTTAATTTTGGCATATATTGCATTTGTAGGCCTAAAATATAGATGTTTTTCTTTTGTGACGTCCGGACAATAAATTAAAATTAAATTCCCCAGTACATAAAAAGTTGTATGATCTGGAGTACACCCTGATGTCTGCGGTATTGTCTAAAGGAACAGAGCTAGTCTTGATAGACTTGATTTAATATGTGACGAAACAGTGTATGTTTACTGATTCTAAGTTTAATTTTGCAGTTGTTGAATTGTAAATAAATGTAGACTTCTACCGAATTAAAAAAAGAAAAAAAAGAAAAAGTGGGCTGTTAACAGTGTGTCCGCTTTCCAGACAGCACTTCCCCATTGTCTTAAGACGAGTAGGATTAGGAGTACGCCTAGATGTCTGAAGCAAAGACTGTTGGATATTGGAGTTTTTTTGCATGAAATAAACGTTTAAAAATGAAAATCGTGTTGGTTATGTAACCCCTGATATCACAGACCAGAATTTATTAAACCTGCTAGTACTTTGGCTTAAACTAATGATTAAATATACAGTAATAAAACATATTGTCCTGTCGGTCATATGAGCATCAAAAAGAGGTCACTTTCAAGGTGGTTACTCGGAAACAGAAGTTTAAATATATGTATACTCCTTTTGAGTCTAGAGTAAACCAGACCGATAATTACCTAACTATTCATTCACAGGGATTTGGGTCCCACGAGATTCACCATTATCTTCTGGGAGGGCCGAGTGCACTAATCATTACGCCCCTTTCTCTCCAATGTTCACAATTATTTATTACACCTGGTAATGGTAATGGTAATATCAGCGGTTTTCTCATATATCTTTGACATTCATTGACCAATCAGCTATTATCGGTTAAAATTTATAAAATCTTTCTATTAAAACATTTTTTTTTTTTTTAAAAATAGGTTTTTCATGGTTATCACCCTTTCCAATATTGATGGAGGTTTCCTTCCTAACCTTTTATTTGAAGTCGTGTGGAACGCCAACATCATGATTATATAATGATTTTCTCTTCAAGTTACATGTGTTATCCATTTTAGTTGTTGCTGCTGTTGAAAATTCTTACGTGATGTTCTTTCTTTTATTTGGTAGTATTCTTTATTTGTTATTCTGTAGCGCCTGTCCGCGAACCTCATTTGCAAAAACCCATTTTTAACCGGTATTCTAAGAAAGCCGTTGTATACAGCTGGCATTTTAGATATTTTTGAATTGGTTTTGGTTCCATGGATGACAACCATATGAAAGTCTCGATCTGGCGAAGAAAAAAGACAGGTTAAGGTTTTGGTTTTCTAAGAATTCGCAGCGATGGACGAAACTACGTCTAGCATATTCTATGTTCAATTTCCTCATACTAAATTTGTTATAAGCCATCCATACACCGGCGTATATGAAGTGATTAGGCACGGTGGAGTAGTGGATAGCGGATCGGATTGAGGAATCCGAGAGCCGAGTTCTAATTCCGGCCGAATCCATTACACTCACATGCTAATACCCTTGGGAAAAGTATGAATCCTCTTCTCCCCCCTCCCACCAGCTTTGGGTAAATAACAGGACAGATCGGGTACCATAGCCTTAGATTGCAACTGGTCTACCGCAGAAAGAAATGGCAACCTACTGTGGGAAATAAAATATGCTTCGTCGGTCATGTATCGAAAGATACATGATCACCTGAGCGTGTATCACGCATGGCATATAACTAACTGAATCTGGGAAACAAAATCATTAAAATTTCAATAAAATTCAATCGGAAATCAATAATTTTATACCTGATATAGTTTAAGTTATCAATTTACCTTGCGACTGAAGGACTCATGTTTGATATCATCACACCGTTTAGCCCGTTGGAGACTCCGAGCTTTTTCAGGGAATTTCGAAATGAGCCATTTATCTAACCTACGCCGGTAGATTGTTCTCGTTTCACTTTTTATGGCTGGGAAGAGTTAATCTTGATTTTTCCGTACGTTTTTGTTTCAACCGTGTTATTTCTAGTTCTGTTTTCACTGCATTTCAATCTCTCCAAAGAGAATTAAATATTTATGTTTGTTTACAACTTACCTGATGCGCGCAACTAGTCAGGGCAATCAGAGACGATAGCAAGAACGGTATGTACGTTCTGTTCTGAGATAATGACAATGGAAATATTAGCCGTTCCCTGATAAAATAAAAAAATATATACAGCATTCATTAAGCGAACAGCAATACTATGTCGGTTACGATTTCTTCATTCTCTAGCTACCGGGCTAGGTGCAAAGTGTAGTATCTTCCCTCGCACGGATAAAGTACATTTAATCACTCAGTCGTGTCCCCGGCTACGGACAGAGCGCATCTCAGTCGTGTGTCCCCGGCTACGGACAGAGCGCATCTCAGTTGTGTGTCCCAGGCTACGGACAGAGCGCATCTCAGTTGTGTGTCCCAGGCTACGGACAGAGGGCATCTCAGTCGTGTGTCCCCGGCTACGGACAGAGGGCATCTCAGTTCGTGTGTCCCCGGCTACGGACAGAGGGCATCTCAGTCGTGTGTCCCGGGGGACGCGCATCTCAGTCGTGTCTCCCCGGCTACGGACAGAGCGCATCTCAGTCGTGTCCCCGGCTACGGACAGGGCATCTCAGTCGTGTGTCCCCGGCTGCGGACAGAGGGCATCTCAGTCGTGTGTCCCCGGCTACGGACAGAGCGCATCTCAGTCGTGTGTGTCGGACAGAGGGCCTCAGTCGTGTCTCCCCCGGCTATGGACAGAGCGCATCTCAGTCGTGTCTCCCCGGCTACGGACAGAGCGCATCTCAGTTGTGTGTCCCCGGCTACGGACAGAGCGCATCTCAGTCGTGTCTACGGACAGAGCGCATCTCAGGTCTCCCCGGCTACGGACAGAGCGCATCTCAGTCGTGTGTCCCCGGCTACGGACAGAGCGCAACTCAGTCGTGTGTCCCCGGCTACGGACAGAGCGCAACTCAGTCGTGTGTCCCCGGCTACGGACAGAGCCCAAATGAAAATATTATTGAGAAGTACCCGGGCTTGGGGAACAGTCGCACGTGGTAGTACCATCCACATAGCATTAAAGTGTCGGAATCAGTAGTAATAGCGATGCCAGCGCCATCAGCGGTTTCCGGGATTGGGCTAATTTTGGACCTGGCCCGTGTACCTACGCTTGGGCGCGCCACATTAAACTGACCTTTTGTCATATCCTGACAGCATGGGGTGGTAAGGAAGTGTAGTATCCGTTTTGGGGAGCAAAAACTACATTTTATTTCTCAGTTATGTTTCAGTCTACGGAGAAAACACAACAAATCAATTTTTGCATCGATTTTTCTTTGGTCCTCATTTCAAGCGTCTTCGTTATTTCGAGATTATTAACCTAGAATTCATACCAAGAAATATGACCAAAGACATGTGAAGTAGACGGATATTTTTAATAGGGATTATACGACTAATATTATAAATACAGAACTGACAGTTTTGAAAATAGAAAGATTATACAGCGCCAGAAGAGAGAGAGAGAGAGGTCATCTCCGAAATCAGAGACTTTTATGTAGAAACGGGAAACAACAAAAGTCTCAGGCACCAAGCAAATCTATAGGCAGAAAAAGTTTAAGATCGACAACTAGGTAGCGAAATGGTAAATGTGTTATATAGGAATAAAGTGTTGCTGCCGACATTTGGGTTTGAACACAGATCACCAGTGAGCAAACACAGGTGACTCCATTTCTAATAAGTAGACCACGTGATCGCAAAGGAAACGTATATCTGGGAATTAGCGTGGCGTCTAAGTGATCACTCTTTCTATTCTATCCTTTATTACTATAAGGATCACTATTTCTACACTATCCTCTATCTCTATACTATTCACTATACTATTTCTCTATAGTGATATCTATACGGATTACTATTCGGTGGTTACTTTTCGAGCGAGTATTATAGAGCAAGTACTATTAGTGCAAGTGTTATTCGAAGGCATCTGAAACCAGTATTGTTCAACGGCGTTACTGTAGATGTATCTGCGATTACAAAGTCTCTACTACAACAAACATTACGAAAGTGACAACGACTATTCGTGGCTTGAGTATTCATTGCCATCACAAAAAATGTAATAGTAATATTATCTTTTTTACTTATAAGGAAACATTCGGTATTCATTGACCAAACAATGAGTGCTATTGTCTCTTATTTTATTTCTCTAGCCTTAGGGCTACGATCAAAGTGTAGTACCTGTCTGCAGGTGGACAAACTACATTTGATCTCTCAATTGTGCCTCTCTCTTCGGACAAAGGTCAATTCAATTGTGTGTGTTTGCGAACGGAGCGCAACTGAACACATTACTGAGATGTGTCCAGTCTCGACGAATAGACGCCCGAGGCTGTATCTCCCTCATAGCTCTAATGAGGTGGTAGACCGGTACTAATACTGATACCAGAGCAACCATCGATTGCGGGTGGCTGCGCTATTTTTGAATCTGGCCCGGGTGCCCAAGCTCGGGCACCCCACATTAAACTGATCTTGTGTCACATCCTGCCAGCGCGGAGACAGGAAGTAAATACTAAATGCAGTATCTGCCTTCGGGCGGACAAACAACATTTTCCTTCTTAATTGTGTTTCTGTCTTTGAACAGAACACAACAAATGAATCAGGGATGCCTGATCCTGAGGAATCTAACTGTGCAGCAGCACCTCCATCATTGCAACAAACAGGGCGGATCGTTAGAATATTGATGCCAGCGCGACCTAGGTTGCAGGGACTGGGCAATTTTGGGACTTATCCTGTGTGTCCTTGCTTGGGCTCTCCACTTTAAATTGGCCTTGTGCTATATCCAGTCACTGGAGAATGAGTAACTATAAGTTCAGTATCTGCGATAATTTCTAATAGTAATGCATCGAGTTTAATCAACAGATTGATCTTTATTAGCCGTTTCCTTATAAGGAAACATTCGACATTCATTGACCGAGCAGCCAGTGCTATTACTGATCGAAATTCATAAAATCTTTCTATTAAACCAATTTTGCACGAAAATAGGTTTCTTATGGTTACCAATCTTTCAGTATTGATGGGAGCTTTGGTTTAGTTCGATTTGTTTTACGTCATATCAACTTCAATGGGTCATTTAATACCGACAAATTTTTTATTGCTGGTAATATTTATTTAAAAAATGTATTGATGGTAATAATTCTTTTCTTCAAAAATTCATTGCTGGTAATAACCTTTTACAAACATGTATTGCTAGTATTAAAACCTATTTTTACACTTTCATAGTGTTTTGACCCCAGTTTGAGGATTAACTATTTGCCCATAGCTGGGACGGACCATAACATGTGATACCACGCCGCGTCAAGGTGGACCTGTGAACACCAGCAATTAAGAGGGTTGTCCTTCGGGGTCAGATGCAAGACATAAGAAATTCGATTTTGATTGGGTGAGCTAGCGTGGGAATGATAGACAAAGAAATGTTTTTCAGCGAGTTGTTTCTTGACCGTCAAGTGATGTAGAACTGTTCTCTTTCGTGGTTGAAACAGGTCCCCACTGAGGGAAGGGGCAACCCCCTCTGGATGGTTAGTACATGCCGACATTAATAAAAATAGATAAGTTAAAATTCAGCCAGAAGAAAGAAAGAAAGAAAGAAGGAAAGAGAGAAAGGGTCTTATATAATGTTAGTCCTCGTATATGGTAGTGAATGCTGGACAATCTCCTCACAGATGAAGAAATTTGAAGCAACAGAAATGTGATTCTACAGAAGGATGCTCAGAATACAATGGACTGGTCATCTGAGCCACGGCAAGGTTTTAGAGTAAACGGAGACGCCTATACTTAACATAAGGAAAAGGAAGTTACAATTTCTAGGACAGATAACGAGGAAATAGGGTTTGGAAAATTTGGAAGTCGCAGGACAGTTTGAAGGCAAGAGGGATAGATGAAAACAGGGCATAACCTACTTAACAAGCTTGCGTAAATGAATGTCCTAACAGGGTTTAGGAGAGATAAGAAAAATACAACATTTATTAAGAGCTAAAAAGGAGAGCAAATGGTGGAGAGCCATAATTTCAACGTCTTGAAAGGACACGGCACATAGAAGGAGAGGCTCTAGAATAGAAAAAGAGAGAGAGAGAGAGAGAGAAAGAAAGAAAGAAAGAAAGAAAGAAAGAAAGAGAGGCGGGGTAGACATCGATTAAAGGAAAGCGAAAAAGAAAATCTTTATCCTGTTTTTATTTGTTTACTTTTCACAGCATTCTGAATAAATTCTTTCAACATTTTTGGTTTTAATCGATATTTTCATTATTTTTAAGAAAAATTAGACTCTTATCGTAAACAGAATGGGAAATCCTATGAAAATGACCATAAAGCGAACATGGAATGACTATTAAATGCAGAGACATGATTTAGGGAAGAAAGTGTTTTTGTTTTTGTTTTTAATTATTTATTTTGCATTGTTTATTCATTTAATAAAATACAATTAGAGTTGGGCCTGCAGGGAAAAATAACAGACTTTCAGTCCATGAGATTCCGGAAAAACAATATTTGGAAAGTGCGATGGTTTAAAAAAGAAAAATAAAGGGTAAGGGATTTTTCTATTGGGGAAATGATTGAAAAAAAAATTATCAAGTTTAAAAAAATGTGATTCAATGCTTTGAGGCTCTGAGTTTAAAATGTGTAAGATATTGCGCAAATATCTTAACACCGCACAAAATTATGACGACGACGATGATGGCACAGTAGCAATAAAAAGTAAAAACGATAATATTCATTAAATTAAAAAAAAATATACGAAAATATAAAGAAAAAAATGAACATTAAGAAAAGAATGATGTCCGGCTGTACAAAAGCATAGTGTGCAGCAGAATTACCCTGTTCCCATAATGGAAAGATATTAGTGGCAATGCTGTCTTCATCTAGCTTATGTCTTACAATTAGGTCGGAGGTATTTCTGCTGCACCCTGTACAATTAATTTAACATCAATCCTCGAAATCCTTAATTTTCAAATTTTACAAGTTTTGTGAGAATTTTTCTATATAAAAATAAAACGAATATTTAAAACAACAATATCTACTTGAATGTTAAACTAGATACCATTATGTAAGGTGAAGAAAAATGTCTTCAAAACATTGTTCACCTACCAATGCGTGTGCCGGTAGGGGTCCACATTTGTACAATAGCACCAAAAATGACAGCGTTAATAGAAGAGGAAAAAAAAAAAAGAAAAACAAGAAATCGTTAGAATATCGATGCCAGCGCGACCTCAGTTGCAGGGACTGGGCAGTTATGGGACTTATCCTATGTGTCCTTGCTTGGGCTCCCCACTTTAAATCGGCCTTGTGCCATATCCAGTCACTGGAGAATGAGTAAATATAAGTGCAGTATCTGCGATCATCTCTAATAGTAATGCGTTGGGTTTAATATTCAACAGATTGATCTTAATTAGCCGTTTCCTTATAAGGAAACATTTGGGATTCATTTACCGAGCAGCCAGTGCTATTATTTATCGAAAAAGAAGAAAAAGAAAAAAGAAAAAGAAAGAAAAAAAAAGAAAAAGAAAGAAAAAGAAGAAAAAAGTAGAAAAAGAAGAAAAAAGTAGAAAAAGAAAAAGAAAACAGTGACAAAGAAAGAAATATTTCCATGAATAAATCTGAAAGCAGAGGCTAACAGACGGAATTGAGTATATGTGACACATGCCCGAAAGATAGGGACATCCAGAGAGGATCGAACTCGCTATTCAGTCGTAATTGATTAATTGAGACAAGCTTGCTAACCATTACTCTACGTCGAAATGCCGAAGCTACTAAAGTAGACTGATCCAGTCTTAAAATTAAGGGGAAAAAAGTTTATGAACTTATGTCATTGATAACGGCATATTCTTACTTTATGAATTCAAGCGCAGTGCTAGACTGGCAGTAAGGTCTCATCAGTATACAGATGAAATGGCGAGACGGAACCGTAAGTCCTATGCTAACGATTTCTTCTATCGCACTTCTCGCTCGTGGAAAGCTCTTCCGGTGTCTTGCTTTTCCTATCAACTTTGATCTTTAAAAATTTAAATGCAATGTTAATCGTTTATCTTCTGTTTTCTTATTTTTTGTTGTTTATTGTCCTTTCTCCATGCTAGTTTGGTTTGGTTTGAGTGTTTAACAGCATATCAACTCCTTATCAATCATTTAATGTCGAAATTTTATTTTCTTGTGAGATTTTGCAATTTTTTCTTTCAAGAAATTTATTGCTGGTAGTTTTTTGTAATGTAATTTTATATTTTCATGTTTTGACCCCAGTCTGGGCTTTTACTATTTGCCCATAACTGGATCATAACAGGTGGTACCATTTTGGGTCAGGGCTGACTTGGGAACAACTGCAATTAAAAGATGATTTCATACTCCGAAAAAAAAAATCTCTCTCGATCAGTCTTGTTGCTGAATATATTTTATCGTCCTACCCAGGACGACACTTAATAATTATTAATTTTCACATATTCTCTAACACTTAGTAACCACCCGTGTTCTAGTGGCTTTATAGCCTTAGTTATGGTGAAATACTAAAAAGAAACCTACTTAAAAAATATCTAGTGAGGATTGTTATGGAAACACATACACAAACCTTGCAGACTAACTAATAATTATTCATCTTAAATGAAGAATAAAGGGATATATACTCTAACTAATTTAGATAAATGTTGGTTCTTTAATTACAAATTAATACACCTATTTGTTCTTTATTTAAAGAAATATGTTTGTTTAAATTAATTTGGTTTTCATACGCAGAACATTTTGATCCATATAACTATATAAAAGTCAAGGGTTCAATTTTACATTCTATCAATATTATGAACAGGACCCGTTCTGAAAGTTATAAAATAAAAATTAATATTTTTCGATTCTGACTGATGTTGTGTCTGGAGGAATGTCTTAGGAATGCTAATCTATAAATATTATTTTCAAAAAAATTCCCCCTTTTTTTTCAACGAGTCGACCAGTCGACTAAAGAAGTACCATAAAAATATGAACAATAAATTATAATAAAATAGGGGAATTATAAAAATATACGAAATGAAATGTGATAGAATATTCGTTCTTACCGTGACAATCTGGACATACGATTTTTTTTCTCTCCTCATCAAGACGAGGACTTTTCACGAAAACGAACCAGTGCACGGCCCATGCCCAGTCGTACCATTATCTTTCAGAGTGCGACTCAGTTGTGGCTCTGTACACGGACAGAGACGCAGCTAGGGAAAATAAAATATTGTGAGGTACCCGGTCCCACGGGGCAGCTGTACGAGGCTGAACACCTCCATTGTACTAGAGAGGGGGGATCGGTAGTGAAACGGACGGTTGCGGGGACTAGGCCATTTTTTTTCCCCTTGGGCCGAATGTACGCGCTCGGGATCTCCATATTAAACCCGATCTTGTGTAACATCTCGTCTCAGTTGGGAGGCTGGTGTAAATAAAACCACTTTGTGTCAATTATTAAGTATATTCCAATTACCAGTAGCGCAACGCCTGAGTTTTGGGAAAACTTTTAAATACATTTTCTGACTTGTTTACCTCAATGATTGTTCACTGAAAGCAAACCCATGAATAAAGGGGGAACAACTGCGATAATTTCTAATGGAAAATATCAATGTTTCAGACATAAAATAATAAAAAAAAGCAAATATTTCGAAAGCATGTTTTCATGGGAGACACATGACGCTGATATTGCGAAATCTGTCTCCAATTTGTACTTCGGCTGTAATAAACGACGCTTAACTATTTGATCATTTTCATGGTTCTTTCTTTTATCACAGTTGGAAAAGAAAACATCTCAGCATTTATTAGTATGACTGTCCAAACAGACCTAAATTACAAATATCTGTAGATAATTATTTAAAATAACTTCAAACATTCTAGAGACGTCTCAAGAATCGTGATGACCGGCTAACCAAGTTTGAGAAAAAAAAGTCCTGATTATTACATAATGTGATTTCCATACATATTAAAGTTTCTTTTTCTTTTTTCTTTTTTTTTTAATGTTTCAAACCCGAAGAAAAGCGATGAGCGCCACTGAGGCGTAAGGATTTACTGAATGCGACAGAAACTGAGAAAAACGTTATTGAAAAGAAAGAATGATTTAAGAGTTAGGAGAGGAGGTAAATAACAAATCGAATAAAGAAGGGTCTTCATAAGAATTATTAGGGAAATGTGTAGGGACATTTACTATTTAAGTGAGAGACTGAGCAACTGAAAATTTGCAAGTCTGAATACAGTCTACATCAGTAGTATTAATATGTTCAAACCACTTGACATTAAAATCGACAAGCACAAGGATGTTCGCACACAAACACACACACACACACACACACATATATATATATATATAGATAGATAGATAGATAGATATATATAGATATTTGTATATTTAGGCAGCAATCCTTCCTTTATGCATGTTTCATTAAAAACGACAGACAAGGTACTACGGTTGAGCTTTTTATTTAATTTTTCTTGTGTTCTGACAAGAGCTTTCTTTTCTGGACAAAGAGTGTGTAAGAACTGTCCGAATGTTCTGTATTTCCGAGCGCTTTCGGCTATATCTTTAGCCATTATCAAGGATGATTCAATTATCAGCTTAGTGTGTGTGTTCTGTGATGTTCAGTGTGTGGTAGTGATGTTTTTAGTTTCCGAATACGGTTAGCACATTGTGGCTTTGTTCATAGTTAATATTGTTAAGAGTTAGCTTTTTTTTTTTTTATTAGAGCTTCCATTATTTTTAGTCTTTTTTTTTTTGCAAGTGGATGCAGTTAATATATTTGTGTTTTCTACTAGTATGTTCCTAATAGTGTCGGGTAAATCTGAGTGTGTGTTTAAATGTGTTCTGATGGAACTGTGATCAGATAGGTGTAATGTAAGACGTCTGGATAAACATGTGGTTGTGTAGCCGATGTAATTATTTATGAGTCCGGTTTGGTGAGGAACGCAGTTCCTTAAAGGGCATTTGAACTCATAGATAATGTTTGTTCTTTGTAATTTTGACTTAGTTGGTGTGTTGATATTTTGAGGATAAGGTTGGCCGTCTTAAATTTTTTATAATAGATAATAAGTTTGATTTTTTTATTAGGATCAATAGGAGTAGTATATTTCTTTATAATATGTCTTAGAGAAGATTCATCTTGTTTGTAATTAATATGCATTTGGTTTTTGTAA